AGTGTATGGTAGCAGCCATTTTTGTATTATCTTTAGCAAAATTACACTTGCATATGATATTAATTTTATTGTCCAATGATTTCTACATTCTGTTGAGTTATCTCTCTTTGAATTGGGCACAGATATGGATCCTTCCAGTCATTTGGCCAGGTCTTCCAAATTTCTTGGCATAGTTGATTGAGTAACTGCAAATCAAATATATTTTGTTGTTGTTGTTGTTGTTAGGTGCATTCAAGTCGATTCCGACCCACAGTGACCCTGAATAGGGTTTCCGAGGAGCAGCTGATGAGTTTGAACCACTTAACCTTGCAGTTCAAAGGAACTATGCAGTCCAGTGCATTAAACCATAGGTGAGACTTCATTCCATACAGTGGCCAAATTCCTCTTCATTTATGAAGAGGTACAATGGTGGAACAGCCTCAAGGTAAACATTTCCATTACAAATGGAAAAACTTTGAGGGAAAGAAAGGATAACGGGCACCAAGCAAATCCCAAACCCAGCAGAACAAATTACCTTAGCTCTCAACTCTGGAGAACAATCTTTTGTTCTTCAGAACTATCTGGGCAAGAATCCTATGCTCCAGACTCTGGGTATTGGCCATGATCTCTCTGCATTCTAGGTGTACACCCCTCAGCCTGGGGTGGAGATCTTACTTTCCAGGCCCACTGGTATGGAAACCTTACCCCTCAGCTAAGGGTGGCCCCTTCTCCTAGTCCATATGAGTGACAATCCCACCCCCTCAGTCCTTGTAGTTTCCATTCTTCTGTCCCTTTGGCATGGTAGCTCTGCTCCCTGAGCTTTGGGCAATGACTCCATCCTCTTGATACGTTTAAACAGCAACTGCACCTTGGAAACCAATTTGGTGGCAAGCTGACTCTTCGATACCTAGAAAACCATGGACCCACCCTTTGAAACCCAGGAGGCTGTGTCTCCGTCATTTTTGATACCTAGGAGACTCTACCTTTGAGACATAAGAGATCCTGGCTCCACCCTTTGAAAAGGAGTCAGCCAGCTTCCAGTGTTCTTTCCAACAGTCTGTTCATCTGTGAACTGTTCCAGGAATGGTCCTTTTCTTTTCTTGAAGGACAACAAATGTAGCTCCTTTGGTATATTTCCTGTCTACAGAATTCCAAGAAGCAGGCAGTTTTCCTTTCTTTCATCCTTTCTCTGTGCCCTTCAGCCTAAACTGATGAGTCTCCTGGCTGTGATAGTTGGTTAAGTCCATCAATTACAAGTTAAATCTTTTTAACAAATGTTTAAGTTACCAAGTCCTTAGTGAGAGTTTTAGTGCATATGGTCTTAGTTAGTTCAACAGAATTTTCCAAATCTTTAAGTTCTGTTTTCATTTCTCACAGCTCACGTTGAAGTCTATCTCTTTCTTTTTGCATAATGAGATTGGCCCAGGATCAGGCAGTATTTCGTTCTGTTGTGCGTAAGATCGCTATGAGTTGGTACCAACTCGATGGCACCTAACAACAACAACATACGAGGCAACTACACTACCCCTTTAAGATCTTCCTTAGATCTCCTCAGTCAAATATCTAAGTTTATCACTTACAAGGTCTACTTTCCACCAAGCATCTCAACTTAATTCAGACAAGTTCCAACCGCATGTTTATTATTTCCTTTTAAAGTCTAGTTACTGGAGAAGGATACCATGTTTGGCAAAGTGGAGAATCGAAGAAAGGGAAGAAGACCGCCACTATGCACGGTGGCAATAGCAATGGGCTCAAATGTAGCAATGACTGTGAGCTTGGCTCAGGACCAGGCAGTGTTTCAGTCTGTTCACTATGAGTTGGCACTGACTCAATGGCATCTAACAACAACATATATTTGATTTACATTATTTAGAAGTTGAGATTTTAGATTTGAACTTTATTTAAGACTTTTGGAATGTTGTGTTGGGGTAAATAAATTTTGAGGCCAATTTGGAATTGAATTTCTTCCCCCACAAAAAAATGTTGTAAATCCTAAACACTACACATGTGGTTATGAATCAGGTTGCTAATCTCATGGTCAGTTCGAAACTACCAGCTGTTCCACGGGAGAAAGATGAGGCTTTCTGCTCCCGTAAAGATTTGCAGCCTTGGAAACCCTGTGAAGGGTCACTATGAGTCGGAACTGACTCCACGGTACTTAACAACAACCTACATGTGGTGGAAGGAGCTCTGGTAGCATAGTGGTTACAAATCGTGCTGCTAACCTCAAGGTTGGAAGTTTGAAACTACCAGCCATTCTGTGGGAGAAAGATGAGGCTTTCTGCTCCCGTAAAGATTTACAGCCTCGGAAACCCTGTGCAGGGTCATTATGAATCGGAATCGATGCCATGGTACTTAACAACAACATACACGTGGTGGAGTCCTGGTGTGGCGCTGTGGGTTAATGTGCCAGACTGCAAAGTCATTTGAACTGCATGGTCAGCTGTTCAAGCTCACCAGCTGCTCCTCAGAAACCCTATACAGGGTTGGAACTGACTCAACGGCACTGGACAACAATAACATACATGTGGTTGGAGCCCTGGTGTGGCACTGGATAAGCACTGGACCGCAAGGTTGGTTTGAACTGCAAGGTTGGTGGTTCAAACTCACCAGTTGTTCCTCAGAAACCCTATACAGTTGCTATCGGTTGGAACTGACTTGATGGTATTGAACAACAACAACATACATGTGATCATAATTACGTTAAAGAGGTAGCATTTATATGCAGTGTATCTTAAATCAATCTCTGAGATATTAACGAGCAGACTAAGCAAGCAACTAAGCAATTTAGCACAGTTGGGCGGGGGAGGGGAGAGGTAGATAAATGTCATGACACATGAGATCACCAAGGGACCAAGAGACAGAAGCTGAAAAGAGACAAGGACCTTAAGGACATTTCTCCAGAATCAGCAGAGACAAAAAGCCTTTTCCTAGAGACTGCAGCCTGAAATCGGGCTTCTAGTCTCCTGTGTGAAAAAACATTTTTGTTAGTTAGAGCCAGCCACTTGTGATTCCCCCTCCCACTGCCAGAGAGTTGGTTCTGACTCAGAGCCATCCTATAGAGCTATTTCTGCTTTAGCAGTACTAGATAACTAAGATACCTCTCATCTGTGCCACACTTTATAGCTCAAAAAACACCTGGGAAAAAGAGAGGTAATGATGGTAAGGTTAGAACACATGCGAAAGGGAGTACTGGGAAATGGAATGAAAGAGAATACAGTCAACCTTAAAATGTATTTCTGTCACCCATGTTCTATTTGACAAAACGAAGGTAGGGTTTTGAAAAGTAAATCCATTTTGGAGCAGTACTTGAAGTTGTATTACTAACCAGATAGCCCAACTTGAGTTATGGTTTCTGATGACCAACCCCAGAAATTATTCCATCATCACGAGAAGTACAGAAAGAACCACAAAACAAACCTCAAGATGGATTCAAGAGAAAATACCCTTCAAAAAAATTTCCCTTCCTATCAGAAGGCACACGCAGAGGAAGTTTATCCTCCCACCCACAAATTCCCCAGTGAGCTTTCATCTCAAAGTTGTACTCTCTTTAGACAGGCAGCGGACACTCGTTCTCTGAGCCACTCGTTTCTTCAGTGGTACATTTGGGAGAAGCAAACACCCATCTCAAGAGAGCCATGGGTCTCCGGACCACTAAACAGATGGACAGATGCACCAAGCAGCCCTGGGCTCACCAGGAGGGTAAGTACTCATTTGCTTGGTGTTCTAATGCATTTTTCAAAACTGAGTTTTTAGCTGGAGCTACTCCTCTATGATTCATTGCTGCTAGGGGTATTGTACATGAAAATATGTTGAGCTTTCTCTTTCAAATGGATTTATATCTTCTTATACATGAAGGTGACATGTTGTTGTTGTTAAGTGCTGTTGAGTCGGTTCCGACCCATAGCGACCCTGTATAGGTGACATAGATGATTTAAAAAACCTTTCAAAGATTCTTATGAACTCTAAATAACTTGTTGTTGTTGTTACGTGTCATCTATCTGGTTCTGACTCACAGTGACTCAGTGTTTCCAAGGAGCAGCTGGTGGGTTTGAACTGTTGACCCTCTGGTTTGAAGTCCAGTGCTGATCCTACAGCGTCACACCAGGAGTCCTTGTAACCCTTATTTATTAGAATAATGATTGATGATAGGTTTAGTTAAAATAGAACAATTTAGAACGCATTATTAATATATTTTAATATACAATTCTAATCTATGCTGACGTATATAGCGGATATAAAATCACTTTTAAATGAAACCTTAATTTTTTAGGGGAAGAATTCCTTATTTCTGAGAGAACCCAAAGTTTATTCTTTTTCTAGAGAGGTTGATTGTGCACCAGGAATCTTATTTTCCACTCCCTTTGTGTAATACTTACCCTGGAGGTCATGTAGTAACAAATGCCAAAGAAAAATCAAAATAGAAATTAATAGCGTGTGCCATCATGCAGCGGCGGCATACTCTGCTTAAAGATCAGGAAATCGTTTAAATATCAGATTGCCCGTGGGCATCTCAGCCCAGGCCTGTGTACCCGGTGTCCTGGCGCAGAGGGCGTGATTAAACAGCGAGCAAAGCCACCCGCAGCTGCAGCGGCGTTTTAGGGCCAACACTTCTCTCGCCGCTGGTTCGGGGCTGCCGCCGTGGGAGCCCAGCCACCAGCCCGAGGGGGACCAGGGCTTGGGGGCAGGACGCGCGCTTAAGACGCGGTGGGCGCCCCGGGCACTGGCACGGCTCCCGCCCGGCCCTGGTCCGCAGCACCGGCTCCCGCCCGCGCCTCTGAGGGGAGGGACAGGGGCGCGCGGAGAGGGGCTTTGCTAATTGCCCAAGCAGGAAGTGAGAACGAGGAAGGAGCTCGCGGAGACACTGGGAGGAGGAGCAGACGCTGGAACGGGAGCTGAGTAGAGCTCCGAGCCGCGGTGGTTCATTCGGGCACGTTGGGGAAGCCGGACTTTCCAGCCCGGGCGCTCCCTGCAGGCTGACTAACCCTGCTCGAGCGGCTCGTGGGCCTCAGCCCGCCCCCATGGCTACTCCGGACGATCCTGGGCGCGCAGGTAAAGTGACACCACGCCCTCGCCTGGAGCGGGCGACTGCGGAGCTGTGGGGCCCGAACCTCCTGGAAACCCGGGACGAGCTGGACCTGGCGCGAGGCTCACGGGGCTGGTGGGCGGCTGCTGGTCACCGTCCCCACCTCGCGCCCCCACCGCCCCTAGCCCTCGTCCCCTCACGCGCGCCCGAGACGCTCCTTCCCCCTTTCCACTCTGCGGCCACAGCCGCTTTTGTTCTGGTTCGAGGATGCCAGGTTGAAACAAGTCCTGCAAACTTCTCTGGCAGAAAAGAGCGCAAGGATTGGAGTTCATTTTTCCCTCCTGGCCTCTTTCTCCTGGTTCACGTGCCTGATTTCTCCCATTCCCTTCCTTGTCTCCTTTCCCCTCTTCACTTTCATTACATGAGTTTGTTATTGTAAATATTGGTCATCAGCTTCCTTTCAGAAACCAGTAAGCACAGAATCTAGACGTGGACTCCACCTGTGGAATCCCACCTGCGGGCCGCTTTTGATGATAATGACTTCGTTTTTGCCTTTATTTTTAAATACTGTGTGTACCTGATATTGGATTCTAAATTTTTCTTGTATCTCTTATTTGAATTCTAAATCCTTGGTCGGTTCCCCTCCTCCACGAATTCTATAGCTTTGCTCTCCTATAGCGTAGACCTCATATTTAGTAAGTCTTGAACACACAAAAGGATGAATGATACATTCCCAGGGACTTTTTCTGATTTTGTTGCGATTGGAAACTTTAACAAGGGAACTATACAGAACCAGACAGAGAGGGAGCTTCACAAGAGTTGGTGAAAAAATTTCCATGATCTTTTGCCTCCATTTTCTCCACTTCGATAACAGTGTTTTCTGTTTCATTTCTTGGGCTTGGACAGGGACAGAGCGTGAATTTGTGACTTGAGCAGTTAGGAAAAGGGATTGTGGCTAGAGGTTGGTTAAAAAGGCTAAAAAAAAATATCGGTTAGCTAATTTGGCTTATTTGATACTGTGGTGTGCCGCGTTGTGTTCGGGAGTTTCCTAGAGACTTCAAAGAAAGATCTATATGCTTCATCAAGTGGGGGTATAGTAAACGTTTTATTAATTAGAGCTGGAAAGTAAATTAGTTGTCTGGATACGGGAGTTCCTGCTCTCATACTCATTGTTTAGAAAAATAGAAGGGGAAATAAAGGGAGACTTTCTCCCCTCTCCCACGCCCACTCCCACCCTTTCATCTCCTTCTGAAAATCGAGTTGGCCAGGTGCCGAGAGGTATTAGCCCACGTTTCAAGTACAGTGGGCTCAGATTTCATGAACTGATGATGCTGTTGGAGATTCTAAAAGATTTCAGTAGGAACTGACTGAATGGGGAAAAATGGAAAATCTTTTGCTTGAGCTCCCTGAAATCAGCTTCACCAGAGAAGGGGGAGGGGCAGGAAGACACAGTTTGGCAGCAACACATTGTATAGAATACTTCTGTGAGCCATCAATGTGATAACGCCCCGTATTGTTAGTAGCTGACCCTGCATGACAGCCCCACACAACAAATAGAAAAGTTGCCCAGACCTGTGCCAACCCCATGATGGGTTGCAGATTAGACCCTTGTGTTCCATAGCGTTTTCATTTTTGGAAGTAGATCTGATCTGGAAGCTCTGCTGAAGTCTGTTCAACATTTTAGCAACACTCAGGACTCCACTGAGAAAGGGGTGATGGCTGAGCACGAGGCACCTTGGCCAGGAATGGAACCCAGGTCTCCCACCTGGAAAATGAGGACCAGCTCTGTAACAGTGAGGCCTTCAGAGGGGCCCTCTGGTCTCCAAAGACACGTATAGAATTACAGGCTCTAGGGTTCAGGAGATGCTACTATGCCTAGCCAAAGTGAATGTACACAATCTACATTCAATAGGCAGCCTGTAATAAAGGGACTTCCAAACCCTAAAGCATGTGCAATCTCTAACTGAGGGAGGAGAGTCTAAGATAATAAGAGAGTGTCTTATGGAAGCAATCTGTCTCCTGGACTTTTAAGTGGTAGAACCCAAACTAGTAGGTGAAATCTTTAGAGAGAGAGGAGTTTTGGCTTCACACTGAGAGGAGGGAGGCCTTCTGAGGTTGTGATCGTCCATCACTGGACCAAGATGCTAAAGAACAAGTTTAGACATCTGAAAGATGTCTGACCACTCTCAGATTCGATGAATAAAGTTTTTTTTTCAACAAAAAAACTCCCAGACCTTCCCCTTTCTCACATTTCATTTAGCTTCTGCAACCCACACGACACACACACCTTCCATCCTTATACTGAAACCACAAATGGTATCAATGGTGAAAAGTGTTAGAAAGAATTTCTACTTCTCCGCCTCAGACTCAAGACTCTCATCTGATTTCTTACACCCTTCCCCCAATTGGTGTTTTCAAACCTACGCTTGCCTTCTGCCAGTCTGTTCTCCAGAGCAGTGGGTAGAGGGATCTTTTATTTCTTTTTTTAAACTGTGGTAAAATATAAAGAACAGTAAGTTTGCCATTTCAGCGTCTTTTAAGGGTGCAATTCAATGTTGTCAGTTACATTAGCCATAATGTGCTACCATCGCTATTATTTATTCCCCAAAGTTTTCATCATCCCTAACGGCACTTAACAACAACAACAACAATGGAAACTCAGTATCCCTCAGTAATAATCCCCATTCCCTCCTCCCCGTAACCACTAATAAATCCTGGTCTGTGCATTTTTCTGGTGTGGGACTGTGGGATAATGCGCTGGACCGCAAGGTCGGTTTGAAACGCAAAGTTGACTGGTGTCACTACGAGTCGGAACTGACTTGATGGCACTAGTGTAGTGGTTACGAATCGGGCTGTGAACCGCAAGGTCAGCAGTTCGAAACTACCAGCGGTTCTGCGGGAGAAAGATGAGGCATTCTGCTCCCGTAAAGATTTACAGCCTCAGAAACCCTGTGCAGGGTCACTATGAGTCGGAACCGACTCCACGGCACTTAACAACAACAACATATACTTTATATAAAGGGATCACAAAACATTTGTTCTTTTTTGTCTGACATGTTTGATTCAACTTGTTTTCAAGATTCATCTATATTGTAGCATGGATCAGAGCTTTATTTTTTATGGCTGAATAATATTCTATTGTATTTTATCTGTTTATTAATCTTCACCTTCTGTTGTTGTTGTTGCTAAGTGCCACCGAGTTGGTTCCGACTCATAGCGACTGTGGTACAGGGCTTCCAAGGAGCAGCTGGTGGGTTTGAACTGCGGACCTTGTGGTTCTCAGTCCAGTGCTGATCCTACAGCACTGGTTGTTGTGACGAGCGCTGCAGTGAACATGGGTGCTTTAACGTATTTTGGGTATGTCCCTGGGAGTGGAATTCTAGATCTAGAGTGATCTTTAAAAACAAGCCAGACCCTGTCATTCCTCTGCTTAGAATCCTATGCCTGCCTTTCCAACTAACCGCAGTCTTGACGTGGTTTCCATATTCTGTATGGCTGAGCCCTATTCAGCTCCTCAATCAGAGCATGCTCTGTTGGGCCTGCTACTGCCTACACTGCAGCCTGAAAGTCCCTGTGCCCACCCTCCTTTGCGCTTCTCTCCCACCCCTCTTCCGCGCAGTTAATTTCTATGTGTACCCTTCTGATTTCAGTCCAAAAGTGATCAAGATCAAAGCCGAGTTATTAACTCTCAGGGCACCCGTGTCTTTCCTTCTCAGCCCTCGTCATGGTATTTAGCTGTGATTACTTGAGCTCAGCACACGGTACCCATCACACAGACGTCCTGGTTAAATACTGTTGATTCCCTGAATGAATGAAGGGTATAAAGTTTCAGCACATGAGCTTAAATGTCTCAACTGTGGAAAAAAATGTTCCTTCCATGTTGTTATGTTAGGAACCTAGTCATCAAGCTTGAGTTTACCTTCTAATGTTTAAAAAAAGAGGAAAAGACGTTTGTATCATTATACACATATAATAAAGGTATATGAGCTATAATACTACGAGAGTAAATTTTTTAAATTTAAAAAACCTTTTTTTACACTCTGAAACTTAACAGGACTATTTTGGGGAGAAAGTTCCCCTTTAATTTATTCCTTGCTTCTCAAGTTTAAATCAGTCTCCGCTTGGAAGTTCCTAGTTACTCCCTCTTTTTACTTTGTAATAAAAATGAACAAGACTGTTAATTTGAGGCCACACGGTGGGAACATTGTAGCTGTCACTTTCTATCTTTACCATTAATAAACAGTCGAACATGGAATGAGCCTGAACTGTCTGTCAAAAGTGAGTAAGATTTGGTTTGTGCTCCATGCGAGTATTAAAGACACAAACACAGAGCAAGCCTTTCAGCATCTAGCTGAGGAGGTGGTGTGTGCCTCATTGCTTCATTGCAATGAGCTAAGTTACTGGTGGTAACCAGACTACAGCAGGCCTGTTCTCTCTGCTCTTGGGTGGTAGCTGGCTGCTGCTCCTGGGAAATCTGGCTTTTCTGATGGCACCTTCTCTCTGGCTGCCACTCGCAGCCCTCCAACCGCCAAGAGTGGTAAACCCCAGGAGCTAAGCACAGGCTCCTGGTGGTTGTTGTTAAGTGCCCAGTGTAGGGTTTCCGAGGAGAGGATGCTAGGTTTGAACTGTTGACTTTGCAGTTTAGTAGCCCATTGCTTATCCTATGGTACCACACCAGGAGTCCAAGCGCTTCTGTTATTGAGAAGTGCTGTTGAGTCAGTTCTGATTCATAGCCACCCTGTATAGGGTTTCCGAGGAGCAGCTGGTGTGTTTGAACTGCTGACCTACTTCGTGGTTAGCAGTCTAGCGCTTATCCTACAGTGCCACACCAGCACTCCAGCAAGCCTACGAGTGCCTTTATTTTAAAAGCTGCACCTGTCAGATCCTTATTCCCATCCCACCAAAGTGAGTGGGGCAGTTAGTGGTTTCCCTTTCTGTCGTTGTCTCTTTCTCTCCTTATGGGGTTTTCCACTTTTCACTTATAATGTCCCTGCTTTGTACGTTTCCTCCTATATACCATGTGTGTGGATCCCCCTTCCATCCTCTGTTTCACCTCTTCCATCCTCTCTGGTAGGCATCCACTCTGGCTGACCCACCAGAAAGCACCAACCAGCCTTCAGAAAAGACACAAATGGAAGTGTGCTTTTTTGATCCCTGTTCTTTCCCCAGCTTGTTCCGCCGCTGCTCTGAGGCCGGAGGATGGTGGGGAGGGGCTACATGGTATATAGGAGGATGGTGGGGAGGGGCCAGCTGCCAAGTTGCTCTGAGAAGCGTGTCAGTACAC